TAATTGGACTAACGAACGAAGAAGCACTGATATTGAGAAGACTATCGGAGAATACAAATCTCGGTCGAGGAATTAAATGGAATAAATCACACGCGATACCAAGAAGGCTTACATTCGAATAATAAAGGAAATTTTGAATCTTTATTTTAGACAAAATATGGAATCTTCTCAGGTAAACATGTATAAATGCAAGGCGTTCTTATCCGAGAATTTTCTAGTTCTACCACTCAGTTCCACCGAGGGCGTCTTCGACAAATCGCTTGTATATTGCCATAAAAGCTATAACGAAGGCCTCTAGATGGAAGATAGCCTTTTGTCCCAGTTGGAGCCGGTGCTCATGGATAGCGGCCAAACGAACCAACTCGAGTTTTAAGCTTCCATCACAAGAAGTCAGTAGGTTATCCACGAGGCCCTAAAAGGAAATAAAAAGGCTCTTTAACAATGGGATTAATTCGAAGATTAACTAAATTTTGAAAACGTTGATATGGTCACCCTTAACTAGGGAAGTGAGTCGCACCCCCTACAAAAAGAATAATGCTGTACACCTTAACTTGTTTGGTGGTTTATGGGCGTAATGTACACGGCTAATGCTAAATTTGATAAGTAAAACGGTGTTATGTCGAGATGGCTAACGACTGTCTTACTAGATTATCAGAAATTAGTTTTATGGAATGTTAGCTGTCTGTAGCGAAAAAATATAATAAACCTTTGTACGCTCCTCGTTAGCCAGCATAAACTCACCTTCATTATAACGTCTGGGGGAATGCAATGTGCTAGAAGTTCGTAAAGTTTTGTCCGAACATCCAGTATTCTAAAAAAGGGGGGACATCAATTTAAGCATTCAATCGAGCAGGACAAGCACACTGCCAGAAACAATAGGATTGGATATAATGAGACAGTAAAGGTGTGGATAGTTCCTCCCCCATACAAGTATGAAGGATGTAGCCATCGTGACTTTTGTCCAGCGACTACTAACATTTAAATTGGTCCCTGGAGGAGTACGCAGTCTGGCAAGAGGCAAAATCAAGTAAGTGAACAAACATTCCGTTTAGTCGGGAAGAGTTTTCAACCGATAATAATTATATTCAAGGGAAAACGAGTAGAAGTACCCAGCGAGTATAGGTTGAGGTATTAGGGAGCTCAGTTAGCATGGCCTGTTGCTAAAACTCTTTTAGAATTAAAACATTCAGTTGGGCATGAACAAAGTGCTATTGTTGGAAACAGACATAACCGTAGGCTACCGATGAACCTACCTGCGTGGGCTCTGTTCTCCAAGAATGGCCGCCGCGGTTTCTGCAATAAAAGTTTGCCATTCGGGGAGAGGGATCGATTGGTCTGGTTGCATTGGATAATATTGTACACGGGCAACCTCAGCCAGGAGTAGTGACCTACGCAGGTTGCGATCAGATGCTATGGCAATACGAGTAGCGAGTTCTGGGGGAATCCTGAGACCCTCGCGCTTAGCCACA